AGGACTACGATTATGGCGGAGGGCGTGCGAAATCTCATGTTGAGTAATAAATGTGGTTTGACAAATGAATAAAACCAGTCCCCTTGTCATGTGTCCGAGGCAAATAAATTGATTCGACAAAACTTTTGATTTGAGCATTGATACTTAAGCTGACACCTCTCCGCCTCCTCCCCTAATTCGACCCTAATACGCACTCCTCTCTCTCTCTGAGAATATACCTGTCCAATCCAATCCATCTGCGTAATCTCTCTCACGTATCCAACATAAATCTTGACATTGAAGAATTCATCTTATTTATAGCAAAACCACAAACACGTTTTGGACCTGTTCCTAATTAGTCTCAGTTTCCAACTTACACATATAAAACCAAACGGTGTGAAAGTTTCGATTGAGCCTAAAATAATACAGGACTGGCTAACAAGCCACAACCCAAACTTATTACAACGATTGGGAGCAGCAGCAAGAAATGCTAACACGTCCATTCATCACGTCGTCGTGGAAAGAGTCGTCGTATCGTATCGTATCCGTATCGGTAGATCCATCCATCCACAACCCTCAAGTACTTTACTTACCATCACCACAAAACTCAGGCTGGCAGAGAGGCAACAAAAAAATTGTCGTCGAAGGGACTACTTCCTCTTTCACCACCATCACCACGACCACAAGAACAAGCGACATTACGAGGATGAGGACACTTTGATAAGTGAGTCGAGTCTGGAGTCAGTGACAGAGAATCCTTTTTGTCTCTCATAATGAATGCAGACAGGTGAGTTACAACTTGGAGTAATCTCTCTCGATATAAAAATCGCCTTATCTCCCACTTAAATCTGTCTCTCCTCCATTGTCGGCGAGCCCTTGGCACCCAACACTTCTTCGTTTCCACCACCACTTTAATATTACGTGGAAATGGAAAGCAGTTCCAACTCCCTCTTCACTATGGGATTTTATCTGTGTCGATGGAATTGCAGTATTGGAGGACGCTCTTATTGGACTCTGCAATAAGTTGCTAATAGCTCTCGAATTACCTCTGCTCAACTCCACCCACTGTTCAAAGTGTTCAATCCATTTCCATTCGACGGTGGTATTGCTTATCGCTCTCCAGATCTTCAATCATCCGTACAATATTTATGCTATGAATCAAAATGTCAAGAAATAAAAAAAATTATTTAGTGCTGTATTGTGGGTTCACACACCCATACAAAATCATGTCCCGTACCATTTCAGTCTCCGTCGTACATACGTATTCCTTCTTTCTAACGACAAGTTTCAACAATGTAATTTAAACAATATATTTATATGGAGTCGGTAATTGGCTAGCAAGGACACCATTTTTCCAACGGGGTACGTTTTATACCTATTAAAATGCCTTTTAAACCTCACGGTGCTTCATTCTTATCAAATTAAAAGCACTAAAAGCATTTGACAAAAGTCCTCATTTAATTGCCTATTCCATCATTGAGTTGAATTGTGGACAATTTGTCACTCCCATTACTCACCTAAAAAGGATGTGAAGAGTTGTGCAACAACTAAACAACATTTTCCATCATTTTAATTGTGTGACGTAGTAAATAATAGCTCTCTTAAGGTAAGTATACCCGCAGTTTTCGGAATAAAATAATCAAATGTATATCTCTATGTACATAGCAGAATAAACACTGTTTTATTAAGGAGGTGAAAAGTGGACCATTTTTCCGTGTCTTCAAATATGATTAATTTGAATGGATGTTTATTTGCTAATGTTGGTATTTGCACCACGTTTGGTGGTTAATTTGTAGGAAAAATTGAAATGATCTCATCACTCAAGTCCACAGAGTTTTTCACCACGCCACTAGTTTCAAATGAAACAAATTACTTCCACTTCACCCGCCCGTTATCCTCTCCAAAATGTTGCCCATCTCAACCTAACGTCGCAACGGTAGCGCAGAATGCAAGAAATCCCTCCTGGTATCGCAGTACAGGAAGTAGCGAGCGAGCGGGTGAGTGAGTGAGCAGGCGGAATGTGCAACCGTACGCATTTCTTGGAATGAGATACATGAAAGTGAAAGAGAGAGAGAGAAGTTTCTTGGTGGAGTGGAATATTAATGTTTCCGGACTCCAAAATTTCCTCCTGATTTCGGGCCACCTCGGAAATGTTGGGGTTTTCACGAAAAACTTACCAGAAATGCAGTTGCTTCAATCCCACAATTGTAGTTATTTCACTACATTTCACTCAACCTTGAATTCCACCAGTGAACAGCACGCTAATGTCGTTCCCGAACAAGCGAGTAACAAATTTAATTTTAACTTTATGAATTATCATAATTTCAATCCTTGCTTTTGAGCTGAATTATACATTTATAACGAGATGCAGTTTTATTTACTTGGAAATATTTTTAGCTAAAGTGCTGTCTATCTAAAAATGCAGGCACGTATTACATGCATTATGGAATATAACTATAAAAGTTTACATACATTTGACAAGTTTTAATTAGTTGTGTGCGCTCAGGTTTAGCATCATCAGACAAAATATGAGATGACTTTCGCTACCAAGTGAAATTAAATCTGAAACTTGTACCAGCAGAGTTTTCCAGAAGAGACTCAATACCGTCAATAATTACGTGCTCTAATTTTGAAAACTTTGGAATGTAATGTGATACGCAGGAATATTTAAGCAAGGAAAACTCGAATGGCGGATGTGCATGGATTCCCATCCTCCTGCTGAAATACTTTCTCTGATGCAAATGCAAGTAGTTGTTGCCAATAGGGCTGAGGGGGCAGGGTACAGTTTTTAGCTTGGTGGTGCAACCATCGTCAACGTTCAAGAATTCTAATCAACTTTTTATCTCCATTTCTTCCCTGGTTTTCTCTTTTCATATGATGCAAAAAGGAAACGATGAGATCGTTTGAGTGCATCCAACGACTTACATATATGCACAGCGGATGCATTATTTGCTTTCTCCACTGGAAGACGTCTAGTTTGGTTGGTAATGAGGTTGCAGTTAACGAGGAATACAATGAAGTGTGCGGACAGCATCTCATTTTCCGTCATTTATTGCACATTGTAAACTCAGTTATTGCTTTCTCTCTTCCCGACGATAAAAGTCTGTAGTTAAGAAGACGCTCCCTTTTGTCTGCTTGGTGGGGTTGATTCTCTGTTGTTAAACTAAATTGAAAGGGACGACGAGTACGAGTCCTTTACCAGCCATGTGGAATATGTTGTCATGCCTTTTCCATGAATTTGCTAAAAAAAATCTAAGTTTTAGTCGCTCGGTTGGACTCTGCATAGCACCGCTAACTGACTGTGTGCGATTGGTATTGGGATCAAGTAGATGCATATGTATGTAGTCCAGTCGTACATACTTTTCCCAATTTTTCCACTCTGCCGAGAATGCCGAGGCGACCAGACGCACTTTGAAATTGAATTCAGTGTATGCGTGAATTTCCAGCGTGAATGCATCCACACTTTTCACCCGACTTTCACTGTCGGAAAGTGAATCGACATTTAACAATCAACATTCCAGTGCACTCTCATGCTAATAACGGCCATGCAGCAAGTAGTGAACCGTTGTCGTCGCCCTCGTCGTCGTCGTCGTCGACGTTCTCTGCTGCTGCTGCTTCCTCTCTCGACTTTCTATCCACTTTGTATGACTATACAGACGAGCTACGGGTGCACTGCAACAACTAATAATATACTTTACTTAAGGTCTCGCTTTTTATTGGCAGCCATTTCTTTCCATGCAAGTGCAGGCAGAGTGTCTGTGTGAAGATGGTTGTCGGATGGAATGCGATGGATGCAGAGGAGTAGAAAATCTATGTTCGCTTTCTTGCCCATGGAATTCTCAGTCCTCGCTATAAATTGAATCAAAATGTAATCAAATCAAGAATTCTGGTAATCAACTGGCCATATTTTTGGTATTCGATGAGAGAAGGGATACTTTTCTCGTAAAATTATCAAACACTCTTCCCACACATTTTACATACATGGTGTATGGGTATGTATCCCTAGCAGTTTTCATACGTCATCACGATATTAATATTGGTGGTGGTGGTTACATGACCCTGATCACCAGTTCACCACCTTCTCTCTGACCACTTTATTTATTTCCCCTTTTAAGGAAAGTGTTTGTTGGTATGGGTGATGGTGTGGCGAAAGGAAATGACTTTGATCCCGTGTGTCTCCTTTGGTGGAGAAATCAAAGCATCCAGAGTTGCATTGGGCAAGCAAAGTAAGCCGAGTTCGATGGATGACTGTTGACTTTCTCTTGTGTTGTGCAAAATGCAAAGGAAGCCGCCGCCTCGCTCTCTGATCTTGTGGCGTCATGTTGGAAAGCAAAGTAAACGCAAAGTGAAGCGCTACATGTGGCAACTTCTTCTCCTCCCGTGCGGTGTGCAACCTGGTTTGCAAAAGGATAAGGAAGAGGAATGCGTCGTCGTCCTTGTTGGGATGCGAAGGATGAAAGAGATGTTCAGCTCAACTGTTTCTTCAAACCACAATTCTTGTGGGAATTTACAAACTTGTTTCATCTGATCTGACCTTCTACACAACGTCTTCAGAGAACTCAAAACACCCAAAGATTTTCAACTTGGTGGGTTATGTGCAAAATATGTGTAAAATGTTATATGTAAAAAGATGGGACCGATTGTAACGGGCAATAGTAATTTCCTTATTGACTTTCTAGTGAGAAACAGTTTCAAGGGATAAGAAAAGTCCCCGTGAAATTGAAGCTTGGTTGAAAACAAGTCCGGAGATTCTAGGTTTCTGGAAACAAGGCTATTTGTGGACATGGCAAATCAAGCGTATTTTGCCTAGCCAGATGCTAACATACGGAAAATTAAAGAAATCTATCGTAAATAAGTTACGTTACGTTACAGTAATAAGGTTCTCGGAATTGTTCCGGTTTCAAGTAAAAGTTCTACGTAGCTTGTGTAGTGCAACATATGTATTAGCATTTTTGTCCATCAAATAGTAATAAAAGAATTTAACGTTATAAAATAAATATGATCATTCACTGCCAAATTAATATTCAAATGAGGGGTGGGTCCCATACATGATTGATATATTTTAGTGCTATAATCATATATAATTACAATATTAATTAAGATGCCTATTGTTTTGAAGTTGATGAAACAATATACTGAGTTAGAAATTTTTCGTGTGCTGACTTTCTATAATTCAGACAACAAATTAGAATTAACGAGTGAGATTTCAAGTGTCGATGGGATTTTGAATCACAATCATGGAATATTCTTGCTCTGCAATACAAAAATGAGATATTCATGGTCAGTTTTGATTTTAGTCATAATTTGTTTGTCATCCTTAAATTATAAGTCACCTGGACAGACTAGAACTTCATGTTTCTTGGTCCGAAGTCGAATAAAAGTAAGCTCGTCATCGGGATTGAGCTCCTTGATCATGGATCGGGTTTTGTCGACCATAGGAGTCACGTGAGCTGCGTATTGGATACTCAGGGAATTCTCCAACGTTGACTTGATCGGGATACCTGTATTCAGAGAAAAAATGATTGAAGTCAACAGATTGAATTAATTAATCCGTACTAACGGATCGGGACAGTGCTGAATGAAATGTCACCTTCGTTGTTAATCACAATGAGTCCAACTACTCCCTTATACGCCATTATCCGCTTGATGGCTTCTTCCACTTCGTTATTAGACTGAAATTAAGATTACGTCGTACGTAGGTTAGTTGAGTTATCTGCATTCTCACATTCAGATATTCTCATCTCAGCCAGTCGTTTCCTCTGAGCAAAGTAAAGAATTCAAAAATTGCTTACCATTTCAGCCTGGTTTCGTGTAACACGCTGGCGTCACCTCAGTTAGAAGAATGATTCAAAATACTACAATTTATTAGCAATTAAGGGACTATGGGTCACCACTATTTTTTTGATTTTTTATGCGCGCCTACCGAAGTGGGTTGTTGGTGGCAGACTTCATGATTTGGTCGGAGATTTCCTACCTCGCTTATCTGAGTTGCCAGCTAACTTCGAAGAGTTACAAATGAATGGGAGGGGACACACACATATAATATAAGTAGAGGGCCACCTCGTTTGCATATTTTGACGCATTAACGACAGACATAGAGTATATTCAGTGTGGAAAGCCCGCATCGTCGAAAAGGGGCATAGCGAAATTTATGAGGCGACAGCAAAATATACAAATTTTGATTAAAAACTATAAAAAATTTAGGTTTTGTAAAATAAATAATTTTTTAGTAAAAATTTATAACATATTTAGTACACACATTATGAAAAAAAACTTTTTTCGAAAAAAGCGACGTGATCTGTAATCACCCCCATAGACTCAGAGTATGCAGTTTTACATACTGATGTCTTATGGCATCTTGGTCGGAGACGGGGTAGGATTCTCCGGGCAAGCCAAAAAGTCTGGTTGGTGGAAGTGATCCGAGGTGTACCACTCCACCACCACTTCATCACGCATAGTCAAATAGTGCACTGTTTTATTGTTTCGAAAGTTGAATTATAATCAAATAAAAAAGTGGCATGTTCAAACGATCGAAACAAGAACTTACGGAGATATGCATTTATATTATCCGTTGTCGTGCTGCTCGGGAATTGGTGAGTCATAATGCAATGAAAGCAGTCCAGACGTCAACTGCAATCCCACTTTCTCTCCAAAAAAGTTTCTCACTCTGTTTCATGAGCAAATGTAATTTTTAAATGCTAAGTTTTTAATGCTGTCGACATGTATCATTTTTTTTATTTCAATACATTTCCATAAAAAATATTTTTATGAGCAGTATTCGTCTAGACCGTTATCAATCCTTGCTCACCTTCAACCTTTGATACATATAATTTTGTCCCCCGGTCAAAGGTCAGTCCAACACTCTTATTACATCCTGTCGTTGCATATGTACACGACTATGCTACATGACGATGCTGGGTTGAAGTATAAATAAGTTTTGAAGTTGCAGTGTGCATAATATTTTTACTTGAGTGAGATTTGAATATACGTTGGGAAAGAGAGTGAGGGAGTTTCTTGGATGGAATTTTGTTTCACAAAATCAGTATCAACCTTTGATCTTTTTGCTTGAAGGAGCTGTTGTAGCGTGGTGTTAGTTATTTCAAAAGAATTAAACTTGCTGTTGCTCCATCGCCCTCGCCACCAGATAAAATTTGACATTTGATACTCTCATCCTCCGCCATCCATGATTCATGACTTGAGGAAATGGTTGTCAAACGCACAATAAAAGAATTATCAAATTCCGGACATCACAACATAGTGACTGGTGCAGCACATATAAATAATGCCCAGTTCGAAGAATTGATAGTAAAACGGACTGAAAAACAAATATGCTTGCAATAAAACTATGTATACATTGCTGTTCTGAGATAAGTGCGAGTGGGCAAGTGCGTAAGTTAGTGAGTGAATTGGTATTTTGATATGTTTTCGTTAATGACGTTCTTGTTTGCTCTTTAAGTAAATATCATAAAACTATACATACAGCTTTGGCATCAGAGAGCGTCGTACGGGAAAAGTAATCTGATGCTTCTAATAATTGGCCCACTACTCTTAATCTTGTCGAAAATTGACTCTCAAATTGCATCAACAAGCTCAAACTGAAATATTTAATATTTCGTTCAGCATAAACATCTCTCTGGCATCATCTAGGTTATGAAATCTTAATCCACTGCCACTCAACGGTTGGCTTGATTTTTGTAAAGCACTCTGAACGTTGAGTTCCAGCCAGCCAGGCAGCCAGCTTATCTCATAACTGTACATTTATGTGGATGATGATAAGCAACTTGCTCCACGACCCCATCCCTCATTCCCTCACCCCTCCTCCCTCCCTCCCTTCTTGTTCTTAAGGTTTCAAATAAAATAAACAAACACAACCTCATTAGCAGATGGATGGATGGGGGACTTTCAGGTTCTTCTTCTTCTTCCTCGGGGGGGATCGGTTTGGCCGGAATGGTATAAATTTTCCACAATCAAGAAAAACAAGGCGCAAGGCGATTTGTCAGCAGGTCGCCACTAGCACTCACTCAATTTCACCACTTGGTTCATTTCCTCCTTATTACATATTTGTTGCTGGATGGGAACCTTGTGAGCTATGTACATACACGCAAACATCCATCCTCATCTCCTCGTCATTAACCTTATTTGTTTGTTTGAAATGTCACTCTCCTATGTACGAGATGTAATGAATATGAGGCTGGGAGAGCTTATTATATTTTTGACGAATGTAATAACAATCATACGTATGTACGTACAGTATTATAAAAGCCCCTTTATTTTCTTCCACCACAACTCAAACTTGTACAGTTCTTCGAGCTAGAGGCCAACTACTCAAAATTACATGAACGCTACGCAGTTGGTGCCTCACTCAAACTCAAAGTCAAATAGGCAGGCAGACACAAATGAGTGTTTTGAAATATCAAATTTACAGTATCAAATCAATGATCCAGTTCCAATGTGTGAGCAGTAATGTAGAGTGAACGTTGATTACAATATTTGCAGTTGGAGGAACTGTCAATATTTCCGCCAGAAAGTTCCCTTTGATGTGTCCCTGAATTTCATCCAATATGCCACGGTAAACAATAGGACGAGGAGAGTGGTGATCTTGTGTCTCATATATGTACACATATAGTGACCCCAGATCAGTTAATGCGACTGATCCATCATTCTGGGTCAATTTTGAAATTGTTTATTTTCAACTTTCCTCCTCCTGGAATGACAGATCATCGGGCGGATTCTAAATTGTCTCCGGTTTAGAATTTTTCAATTTCAGTCATCCAAAGGCGGAAAAATACGGAACTGCAAGTAGATTTCTTGTATGCTCATCGGGTGGTGGATTACTAACACTTTATCCGGAGAGTTGATAGAAATTGGCCATTACCCCTCCGAAACTTGCCCTCCGTTAAGAATGGAACAAGTCGACTGAGGGATGAGTCATAAACACATTAAAGGAAGAAAAGAGAAATCCGATCCGAAACGGCGAGTAGGTTCAACCTGCACTCGCACCGAAGACATGAAAGTGTAGTGGTATATGTACGCATATATAAGTAATTTGTCCAGCATGAGGGAGTAAAATGCAAACAGTTCACCCAAATGCCTGCCTGACCACCGATGCCTGCTATTTTTCTCCAAAACCAGTTCATCTCTCTTATGCGACGACATGGTCTTCTTTGGTAATCTGCAAGTTGGAGATACTGAATATGAAAAAAAGTTGTTGTTTACTTGCAAATTTTTTACTACGGGATGAACATGAGTCGAAAAAGTTTTTTAAACCTAACGTATGTAACATGAACCTTCATGATGCAAAAAATGAGAATCTAATTTTCACGCTAATTTGCCACGATTTGTTCGCCTTGCGCTGTTGAGCTTATTATTAAATTCTGTGACTACTCGAAAAATTTGATGCTCATATCACATACATATTATTATTAAACTCATGTTCCCTACTCCATCCTTACACATATTGTCATATAGATTCAGCGTCAGTGGGGTTGATGATGCTCATGAAGCGAGATTAGATGCAGTTAATTCTCAAGTCTGAATTCCTGTCTGTTGACAAAGTCCATAATAATGTTATAGACGAGAAAACGAACATATTGTATGAATTCATATGTCTCACGATGATACGTTTGTTGGTTAGTCGCCTCATACACTCGGCCAGTGGTATTAGCAAGCAGGCAAGTTGTTGGGCTGGCTGGCTGTAATGTAATCCGTCGTCCAACACAATGGAATAAGGGCCCTGTTCTCTGTTATTACCAATTACCAAGGATAGAGGAGGAGAACTCGTAGAACGTTGAGCCAGGCAAATTGGAAATCCAAGGCTCAACTGGATCTGGGGCGAGTGAAATGACAATGTCTGCCTCAAAATCAAAGTGCAGATCAGCACAGGGTAAGAAGAGCAAGAGGCATTAAGCCTCATTTCAAGCAAATGAGTCTCATTCCACATCATTCAGTTGGTCGACTCTGCAAATAACACAGTTACATGCAACACAAGAAGACAAAAGGAAACGTACAGGCAGAGATGGATGAATTGATATTGATGTTTATGTGGAATTGTGCACCAATCTGCGCCAAAGTCCAATCTGAATTTCCAACTTATTGGATCTAGCGAGCAAACAATAAAATGGATTTGTCATGGATGCAGCAGATGATTTAAATACCGACGACGACGACGGTCTCTCCATTTCGTGTAGAAACATTACACATACGTCTCACCCTTAACTCTCCACATGCCCGACAACTTTTATTTCTTGTCCTATCCACTGGATAACCATGCATGCATGCGTGGGGAGTTTACCAATAAATGGGATATAAAAAAGAAATTCCCTTCGCAAAAAGTGATCGAATGTGACTAATGAGATTTCTATGTTGATTCGTTCTTACCCACCACGCTCCCACTTCCCGGCATGCATTTCCTTGCTGGAAAATTACAACGTTTTGTTATAAAACTGTACATACACCAATTGTCCATCGTTTCTCATGCTTGTCATTCCAAAACACAAACGGGTGGACCATGCGTCACCCAAAGTTTGACGTGGGGGCTAATTCTGCCTGAAAATAAACTCGTTGGTAATGCATTCTCAACTTGTATAGTTGTTTTTAATGTTTTTTATTGCATAAAATTCGCATTCTGGCATTCTTCTCTGCGTGTGGTCTCCTCCATCCTCTGGACCAATTGTCCCACATACTTCAACTTATTACATATGTACCAACCAACCACGACGACATAGATACTTCTCCCTTCTTTATCTCATCCTCGCCAAAATATATTGTTGCCAAACCCACACCTTTTCATGTTCCTCTCTGGAAGAAAGTATTCCTCACTGAAATATAAAGATGCCAGATTTTGTGTTTAAAACTGATCACCAGCTCCTAAATCCATCCCCAGTGTGGAAAGGGCGACCAAGAAGAAGAATATATTTCACGAGAAGATCCCATCACATCATATCCCACTGTGGCAAACAGACTTGCTCAGACGGACTGGATTCTCGTCCATCTAAAATTCCCCCATGCATTTGGAACACACATTTCTCGTCTTCCCAGTGAAAAACCCTCGGAAACTCCAGTAACAAAATCCACTATTTCCAGTCTACAGCTAGCCTTGCTTGCGACGAGTGGGTGAGCCAAGTGGTAAACTACGAAGCCTTTCACTGCTGGAGAAGATCGAAAGCTAACTCAACCCCGGTACCAGAGCCAACTCTGCCCCAGTCTCAATCTGGGTGTGGAAGAGCTACCATCTCCTCGCACACTGCGACTACGACTGCATTCGGCATACGGCATTCCCAGAAAGAGGGAGAAAGTGAGAATCCTCGTCGGCATTTCCTTGCTTACTTGTTGTAATGCTGTGGTTTTCTCCGTCTAGTTTTGTGACTGGGTGGAAAGCAAATTATTTTAAAAGCCTGTTTTGAGAGTTATTTTGGCTTCTGATCCCGTTTCGAGTTAAAGTTTACTAATCGGAAACCAAAAGTTGGATGGGAATGAGTATCTCGTCATTAGTGCGATTTCAGTGTCTCTTGGAAATCTTGCGTCTCAACTGAACTAATAATTCTGCCCGGATATTGGGAGAACGTGGGGCGAAGCATTATTTATTTACGACGAGTGGACAGAGAAATCGTAGTGACATTCTTCTTCTTCTAGAGAGGATATTTTCCACCACCACCAACCAACAAATCCGATCCGAGGTAACAAATCGTCCCTCCTGTCACCCAAGAACGAAGCCCTTTCCCCTCTCATACCTCCGTCGTCGTGTGTACGCACTACTAAATTTCAAATTACTTTAAGACTCAAGTAACGGAGACACCCTTAAATTAAATAAGAGACAAAATCTCACATTTCCAACACTGTGGAAGAAGAAGAGTAAATCAAGCTAATGAAATATGAGAGTGCAGGCAGGGTAGAAGGAGCAGCAGGAAAAGTAGAGAAAACTACACAAGTGGCAGAAATATCCTCTTGCCCTCGACAATTATCGTTACATATTACTCATTTTTCCTACTTCTGCCACCTATTATTAGTGCCATTATTAGTGCTTCATAACCATTCTAAAAAAGGACAGGACTGAACAGGAGAAAGAGAGACATACAAAACTATTCCATCGTGTCTCATCATTTGTTCGTGCTAATGACCACCACCTCCAGAACTGGACGTACGTAGCAGTAGTAGTTCGTAACGTAACTAGTAACTGAACAAATTAAGCGTGAAATCGATATTTGGTGTTTGGCTTCTTTTACAATCCTAAAAATAACAAAACAAAACAAGTTGTGAGTGAGAAAAATTGTGAGACAGCAAAAACTAATCAAAAACTGAGGGATTAATTCAACAGTTTGTTTACCAAGGTAATACGAATACGTATGTACATATATAATAGTCGGGGGTTCACTACTTCTTTGTAACTTGCGTAACTGTCGTAAGCAGTGTAAGCGTCACCAAATTCACCATGCATTTCTAGCCTCGTATTGAGCTTACGCAAGTTGAATGCGTATTTTTCGTTGGTAAAAAGTTTTGTTAAATTTTAGCTATGCTGGTTAATATGATAATTGATGCTTTATTCTTAAATAAAATATGTGCAAGTCTTCATGAAAAGCATACTAGAATTTTCATGAAAATGCCGAATTAGTTAATTTAATTTTACCAGGGACTTTCATGCCCAAGTTTTCGTAGGTGATGTAAACTAACAAAGTTACGTTATTTACGAAGAGGTCGTGAAAACCCCCAATATTTTCCCTACCCTGACATGTACTCTCTTCCAAAATATACGTCTCCGACGTCACTAAGCTCCTCCCGTGGTACTGTTTTAAGTATTGGGAAATTGAGAAACTCATTTTTGTATCCAAAACCCATTTGTTCTGCAATAATTCACTAAATATAGAAATGCTTCGTTTCTATAATTACTACCCACTACAATAAAAATGCTTCTATTCTAATACGAATTTTGCAACAATGATTGACATCTAATGTCCACCCACAAGGTTGAGTGGAGCAAGAAATGGTAGAGTGAAAAATTAAATAGCACAATTATAAATCTTTAATGATGAGCGATATCTAATCCAGATAAAATAACTAATCACGAGAAACTATCCAATATTCCTCAAGCAAAAGTAAAAATAATTAGGTTTCTTCATGAAAAAATGATTTTCTCAATTTCCCCAATGCTTAACTTGGTGACATCAAAACTGTCAAAAAACGCACATGGACCTTGGAAAGAGACTACACATGAAAACTATATAAACCAGCTCGATTTTTAGTACTTACGTGGTGACATTGAACACGGAGCCGGAATAGAAAATGGTTTATTGCATTTTTCAATTATGTAGCACGGAAGTTAAATCAAATATTAAACCAGGCCAGTAATTCCATCAACATCTGTCTCTCAGTCATTATAGTACGAGGCAATAGAAAAAATACGGTTAGTTGATTATTCTTGTGCCGTCCGTGGGAATATTATCCGGAGAAAGAGAAAGAAAAAAACTCTGAGCAAAACACCAAAAGTTTCAATGCGACTCGAGTTGCAGTACTTTTTTTAGTAGTCGTAGTGGAAAGTGAAGGACACCGTGTTACAAATTTATAACTTGTTGTTTTCCTCTCCTCCTGTCAATTTCCAATTGCAGAGTTGTACCCCACTTGCTTAGGACGAGGCTAAGGTGGAATTTTTCATGTCTCTTTTGCTCTTCTCCTCTCTCTTTCCCCTCATTAACAGAGGTTCTTATAAATTGTTGTCCCCTAATCTTACGTAACTGTTACTGAATCCATTATTGTTCCGACAACTGTTACAATTAGTGTGCTTGAGATTACAAAACATGTCGTAGAAGGCAACTCCTCTCAAAAGTTGGATTGCTTGATTAGTTCAGCGAATATTGCCATCAATTATCTTAAATTCATTTGGGGAGTAGTAATCCAGGGAGGAAAGTTGTCGATGGTGACGTTCAATTGGCAGCATGTTGTTTAGTCAAGCATTCGTTATAAGTCATCGACTTTCTCTTATGCCAAAAAGTGAACACAACAAGGACAAATATTAACTGCATGGATACTATCTACGCCCAACTACTTGAGAGAAAGTCATTTGTTCAAGAAGTGGAGGTGGTTATACACACATTGCATAACGGCGTTCTGAGCGGAAGTCATCCTTTGCGAGTTTGAGTTTGTATAACGTAATAAGAAAGTAGTAGAATCTTTTTAAGGACGGGGGAAAGGAGGAGAGACAACCGAACTGTGGGAAGTCTGGCAGCCGTAGTAGTAGTAGAATAGGGATGAGAAGGGCTAAAGCTAAAAGAACATGCTCCACCAAGGAGTCCATTTATAAAATTAAGGGAAAAATTAATGAGAAGGCATACAAGAGTTGACAACTCCAACCAGGAGCCATCGTCCATCCAACTTTTGTTGTGTTTTGCTGGTACATGGCTGGTCGATGTTAATATTTGCACTGGGAAAGTCGGTTGATCGCATCCACTTCTCCTCTCGTGTAATAATGCCGTGTACATATATATCTTCTTATCGTGCGTGTTGGTCAGCGAATGAAGAACGCCTCCGCTAATTCAACAATTCAATCCTACTTGGCCCACATTTTGTGAATTGTGTGCTCCATTTCATTTCCAACAGCGGAATAAGGACGACTTGGCTGCTGCCGTGGTGAACAGGATACGACGATATCCCTTCCCTCTTGGACTTGTGGAGACTTCTTCATTGGCGTGAGTGGGAGAACTTCGTCTTCTTCTTCTTGGCCCAGGACGACCATACCATTCCACGAAGGGAGGAGGAGGAAATATACTCGTATAAGCAGCTCCTCTTCACTCTCCGTAAGTATTTCAACAATTTATTTCGCAAACCACAAGTCCATTCTGTTTTCTATTGCTTAATTCAATTATACTTCACTTCAGAGTGGGTCTATTATTCATTCTTTGCTTTCTCTGTCCGACCGCTGTCTGAACGGTATTAATACCAGACAAAACTGCTTTCTTTGTTGGGGTTGACGTAAACCCAACTTCTCGGCCTCCAGTGGCTCGCCTGCTTTCTCCAGTCATAATAATGGAGCAGTAAACCATTCAATTCATTTCAATACATTTAGTACACAACGGTGAGGGAGGAGGAGGATGAGACGACCACGGTGTTTACGTATGTGCAAAAACCTCGAGGAAAAACACACTCGAGGAGTGGAGTCATTTCAAACAGAAACTTTTCCAAGAATAGTAAAGTGCATCAGGTTGATGTTTCGAATAACGTTATTTTAACACTTTCGTCCTGGATTTCATGTCAGATAGATGGCTGGATATGATAGCACGGCATGAATAGTTGAGGGTATTTATTTGAAAGTTCGATCTAAAACTACTACCACCGGCTATGTGACCGGTTTGTTGATTGATTATTGCCATCGAGAGGCCCAACTAATAAGTAATGAGCCTTTTCTTCCAATTTTAGGCGATGCATTTGTTTTGAGACAGACAAGGACAAAGGGAGCCTAGCATTAGTGAATGCATAATTTAAGGAAATGTGACTTGTACAAACCACTACTCGTGGTGTTTACTTTCCTTCTTGTATTAACTATGGTACGTCGTGTGCATTTAAAAATGTGATTCATGGTAAATGTGCAGCCGATTTGGAAAACCTTGATGGCTGGGAGTTTGTAGATGGAATTGCAGTTTTTGGAGATTAAGAGATTGTCTCTTCGAGGAGGAGGACAGAATGGATTGAAAATTAAAGATTGAAAACATGTATATGAGCACATTCCCGAGTTAGTTAAACATCTTGATTTCTAATGTTATTTTGGAATTTCATTCACAAGTGGGAATGAAAGGCAGGCAGTTGAGCTTCCGTTGGAATGAGCTGGGCCTTTGCCAAATACTAAACTTGCAAAATTAAAGGTTTTATTCCTTCTCTTCCCACCAAAACACGCTACCTGCGACTGTAAACAAGTTGAAAAATGTTTCCATCTCCTCCTGGAATTTATTTAGAATTGGCTTCCAGGAGTTGAAACAGTTGTTAATTACTACTGAAATTAAATCTAAACGGAATGTCTGCGCATCATGATTATCGGTTCGCCACAACACTTGAGTACGAAACGATTTTCTACCACTTTGTCCAAATAAAATGGAAATGACAGTTTAAAAATAGAAAATTCTCGACTTTGTTTAGACCACACTTTGGCGAAAATAGACACGTTACTACATTACATTCGTTGGACGACGTAACCGCACATAAATATAAATATATTTCTCTCTCTCTCTCTCTCTCTCCTTCAACATGAAATTTGGCATTTGTCAATTGGCACGGCTTACACGCCAGATAAAGGGAAAGCACAAGGCAAGGCTTTTAGATAAGTGGTCAATGCGTCAGTGAATGATGCAATTTTAATAAGTATCGACTTCAATCTGATGGGTCTATCTCTCTCTCTCTGCTATTATTGAATTGAAAGCGAGTCGTGGTCCTCCTATCAGTTTTATACCCTTTCCCTCTATCACTCTAAGTTATATAGCCTTTGGAACTTTCTAATTAACCAAAGTGAAAATGAGCAGATTGTTCAAAGTTGGGGACGAACCAACATTTACTTTTCTAATTGTGTTGGAATTTCCTTAAGTCAATTATTGATTCTTTCGTGACAGAGGGGAAATATAGTGGCAAGGCGGCAGACAGATAGGCCAAGAGAAATGTCAGCTTGACTATTAAACCGTTATATTACGTACTTCAAAACTATATTATACACTCAATGAGACAAAACGTAGGTGGATGTTTAAAGTATTGATGACATCATATCCTTTTTAATTATTAATCATGTATTCCAGTTTGTCATACATAAATACGACCAAAATACTCACATAAACAACCATGTCGGATTGGATTGATATGAATTATTATATTATCGCTGGGGGTGTGAATTTTAATTGGCCGGCTGAACTTGAAATGACAATTAATAATGCAATATACGCATAAATCTTAAACAGGTAATTACGTTACGTAATATGACACTTTTGTTTATGAAATCTTGCTTAGAGTACTATTTTTAAGTACGGCGTATATATATAAACGTAGACTGCGCCACAATTGACGTGCATACGTTCCTAATTATTTATCGAGGGACGGCAAAAGTTGTTACGTGTTTTTGTGTCCGTCTGTGTGCATGTTTCCACCTACATTGCCGTAATTTCTCTCATTGTTTCTCTTGACCAACTTGTACTCGTACATAATGACCTACAACTGAGGATACAGACAGCCAGGTACTGAACTCACATAAATATTCCTTTCCGTTAAGCGATCGGAGAAGGTGTTGCTGCACATTAGCGTTCGACTGGTTGGTGGTCCGGCCAGCAATTTGTCTTGGGAAGAAAGAGCTACAAAAAATAAATGAAGTTAAACAATTGTTCATATCCAGGCAGCTCTTTAGACAGGCCACACTTGGTCCGCCTTCGATTAGTGAGCAGTTTACAAGGAACGAAAGATGATGTCCATGCTGGAGTTCGTGGGTGCAGGCAATGGATTGCACTTATCCCCACATGCACTAATGGTTTCTCGATATTTCTCGCAGCAAAAGATCAAAGAGTTTCTTATTTTTTGGCAGAATCGTTTAAAAATCTGCTAAAATAAATATGTAAAAGTGGAGTAAATCAGTTTTAGGAAATTTTCCAATTTTATTATACGCACAGACTTAACTTTTCTAAGAAATGGTTTCGACAAGAAAAAAAGTCTGAAAGAATGCACTTCATTAAAAAAAATACATGTTTGGGTGTAGAAGAGAAGCCGGCGTGTTGCTGGAGCGGACACGACAATTCAGTATTATTCAATCCTAGCTGGCTAGCATTACAGAATTACATTTGGTCCCTGCCCCAACTCTTACACGCATATTACTGATTTACACACCTAGTGAGAACTAATACAATTTATTACCTCTCACATTACTACTACATCACTCGGCTGCACATTACGGCACATCATCATTTTTTAAAACGAACCTCGTTCAAGCATTCAATATTCACTCGGCATCCGATTCTGGTTTAGGCAGCTTGCACGTTGCGTGGTAGCTTTCATTCGATTTTTTTATTCGTGCCTTATGCAATTTAATGGATGAGAAGCATACGTAGTACGCCATGAAAGAAACACTGGTAATAGAATAAAAATACATCTTATTGCCATGCGATTCTCCGCGCATGAAGGAGAAACAAAAACCCAAGTCTTAACAATGGAGGCTGCGTTCTTCTACTCTGTCAGCTTATAGTTTAATAATATTTTTGAGTTTGTTGAAACAGAGTGGAAAGCACGAACTGCAAACAACAAACAAATAACAGCAGCACAACATCCATTTGACTTTCTTATGGTAGTTAGCGAACAGGAAAATGTGAAAAGTTTGTTCGATCCTGAAATTGTTATTGGATCGTTATTCCAGGGTGTACATCGTCGCTTAATAAATACATTATTCCTTAATCTTGGAAAATAATTTGTTTGTTTGTTTGTTCGTCCATCTTAATAAGTTTAATCGATCCGGTTTATGAGAAAAAGTAGCAATATGTTTAGAGAGAGATAATTATAAAAAAAGGAGTCGTAGAAAACTGCAGTAGGATTTAGGCCAAAGATCTCGACCGTGTCAACCCCCATATTTTTTACAATTTAGCATACTTACGTACAACAGTGTGAATTAGGTTGCACGTAAGAGGGAAATTATTAAGAAATATTATCTCGTAATTTTTTATATAATGTGCAAAAAAGCTCTGGTATAAGATATCTGCAGCCAAGTCGGGAGAAATGTAGGCAGTTTTCCTGTTTAATTTAAGACTTGGGATATGGAGGAGGACGAAAATGAAAGAGAGAATAAGAACTTTAAGGTGTGTAGGTTGCGAACTCCGAGTTCAGATGGTTGCACAAAGACAGAGAAAATAAGCCTCCAGATGATAATTTATTTTCCTGCAAAGAAAAGTTGACGATGAGTCCCCAACCGGAAATAGGGTAGAACTTGTTTTTATTTTACGACACATATCTGGGTCATTCTCTCCACCTCTGAAAAATTTTGCACGTACTCCCATTACGTAAACTCGCAGGAGGTATATACCTTTAAATCCATATTATACATAATCGTGCCTTGCGTATATGAACTTTAGGTTGAACTTTAGGTTAAACCAGACACTGTCTGCACGTACATGTGTACGTACATTTTCGTTCCTAAAGGGTTTGAAATATTAAAAAAACACATTTCCGCAATTTCGTTCAACCGAGAGATAATTCTCGATGAATGCTCGTCGATCTGTACACAATTACGAATCAGTAATGCTGCATTGTAATTGGAGTACATCATCGATGCTACTTTTTTTACTCGTTTTTCGATCCTACGTAATGTGCAGACACGCAGCAGCAGCAGAGGGAAAAGTGACATGTGTATACTTGGTGCACACACTAATTTATCCGAACCTGCGTATTTTCCAAACGCCACAACAACGCCAGGTAATATTTTACTTTTCGGAGAGGGAAACTGTAATAAGCTGAAATATACTCATTTTCCTCCTCCTTGACACGAGGGTGAAAGTTATGATTATTGTTTTCTCTCCAACCCAGCCGAGGTATACCTCGGCTCCTGTTTCTGTCCCAATTCAATCTCATTTCGTGAGCAGTACAGTTGCGAATTCAAAGTTCGCTTTATGCTTGGAACAAGAGGTGAAGTGCCAGGTTTGTTTGTCGTGCTACCTTCATTTAGCAAGGGTTCGTTACTTCCAACTTCCACACCTTATTTAGAGAGAAGCATCGTATGTTTGGTGGTGCATGTACATTGTACATGTGTGCATGATGCCAGGAAGTTTTGCAAAGAGAAATGTTGCTAATA